CTCCCCTCTCACCCGCGCCCTCACCCTCACGCATGCACGGTCACAACATGGCAATGTATAGGGAGACTAAGGGGGATTCACACAAGGACGACAGACACGCGCCGGCACATGTCAGCCGCTGGGAGGGAGCAGGGAAGGGACATGGTGACACGCGAGAAGAGATGAGGGGCGAGGGCAGGCGGGAGGCCGGAGGCGGGAGGCGGGAGGCGCGTCGCCCCGCTGCGAGGGCGACCGCTCGTCGGCCGAGTGTCAACAGCACCCGCCTCCTCCCCGGCCCCTGCCTCGGCTCCTGCCCCTCGCGGCCGCACCCCTCAAGGCTCGACCTTCTCCTCGCCCGCCACCTGGAAGCCGAGGATATCCTGGAAGAGCATGCGCGCCGGGTCGAGGGACATGCTGGAGCTCGACTCGAGCAACTGCTCGCCAGACATGTCGTGCGCGTGGACCAGCTGGTACTCCTCCTCCTCCTCCTCATCGTCATCTTCCCCGTCATCGTCGCCCTCGTCGTCGCCTCGATGGTGGTGGTCGGCATCGTCTTCAGAGTGGCCGGGGTGGCGTCGGGGGTGCGCCGCCGAATGGGCCGCCCCGCCGCCGCCGCCGCCGGCGGCCGCATTCTCCCCAGCACCCTCCTCAGCCGTGGGCGGGTCCTCCTCATCGGCCATGTGGAGGTGTCCCTGGGACATGTGCTGGTACCGGGCCGGCACGCGGACCGACCGACGCCCGGAGGTCTCTTCGTTGGTGGCAGCACCGCCGCCGAGTTGCCCACGCCGGCTGGCGGCCAGGGCCGCTGGCGAATCGTCGCGCGCTGGGTGGTGCCTGCGCGACGCGCCCCGGGTCCCGGGCGCCGAGCGCGGCGAGGGGGTTGCCCGGCTGCCGGCGCTGCCGCTGCCCGGGGTCCCGGCAGCCGAGCCGGTGCCATCGGCCGGCGTGCGGGAGGGGCCACCTCCCCCCCGAGAGGCACGGCTCCCACCGCCGGATGCGCCCAACTCCGTGCGAGTGGCCTGGTGCCGGGCCTGTAGGGCCGCATCGAAGTCGCGCAGCGTCCGTGGTGACCCATGGCCCTGGAGCCGAACATGTGTGTTCAAGTGCGAGAGGGTGCCGTAGGCCTTGGTACAGCCATCATGCGAGCAGGCAAACAGCCGGTCGATCAGATCCGGGGCCCGGCGGAAGCGCTTGGTCCGCTGGCCGGCAGGCCGGTCTGACCCCCCGCCGGGCCCGCCGGGGCCGCTCATGGGCGAATTTTCCCGGCTATCACCGGACCCCGAGCTATCGGCCGTGTCCGACAGGGCGGCCGAGGAGGCACGCGATCCGGAGCCGGGCGCCCCGCCGTTCGACCGGGTGCCCGGCGCCCGGCGCACCGGCGTCAGGCTGGCGCGCCCGCGACCGGGCTTCACATCGTCCGACAGCCCGCTTTGCTGGTCAGGAGCATGGCCATCGCCATGGCCATCGCCAGACGGCCGGTGCCCAGTCGGAGAGGCCGCCACCACCAGAGGCACTCCCGCCACAGGGACACCAGCTTCGGAGCCTGACGGCGGTGTCCTGGCCGCCATGGCTGCATGTTCGACGAGAGGGGGATATATGGGGGCAATTTTTGTTGTTGGGTGGCGATTTCCCAGGCCACACACATACACACACACATACACACGTCGCCCGACGGCCAAGCACACGCGTATTGGCAAATACACACACACACGCACACACGCACACACACACATGGGAGTCAATATCGAGCCGCACATCGGGGCAGGGGGGCGCACGCACACAGGCCGGCCGGCAGACGCACCGTGGAAGCCGATGTTGGCCAGGTGCCGGGTCATGAGGTCGGCGATGTCCAACGCCTCGGCCGATGAGGCGACCGGGGCCGAAAGCAGCTGCCCCGGCGCCAGCAGGCCACCGGGCACATCGCGCGTCGGGGCATCGGCGACGGCTGCCGCGGTCGCCTGCGATTGGGGCACACCCAGCACCGGGGCGCCCTGCTGCGCGAGCTGGTGCAGCTGAAGCAACTGCGCAAGCTGCATCTGCATGGACAAATCTCGCTGGGCTTGGGCCTGGGCCGCGGCGGTGTCGTGCAGTGGCTGCGGCGGGAGCGAGGGCTGCGGAGTCGGGGCCACCACCGACGGCATGGCCCCCGGCAGCGACAAGGCCACGGCCGGGGGCGGCGACTCGGAGGAGGGCGGCGTGTCGAGGACGCCGGCCGCCAAGATCGGCCGGCCGGGGGCCACCTGCTCAGGCGCCATCCCGACCGAGGAGCCCGAGGAGGCCGAGGATGCCGAGGATGCCGAGGGGCTGGGCGGGATCGACGCGCCGACCTCACTGGCCGCCCGGTTGGCCACCTCAATCAGGGCATTGGCCAGGGCCATGTGGCCCGGGGAGAGGGGCTGCTTCTTCTTGGGCTTGCGTGCGCGCGCGCTACCCGGGGCGCTGGCCCCGGCGGCCGTGCCTGACAAGCCGCTGTCCATGGGCGAGGTGAGGCCCGACCCGGATGCCCCGCGCTGGTAGGGGAGGAAAGCCCCGGCCGGCGGGACCGACGGGTGGACCTGCTGACGCCAGAGCATCCGCCGGACGGCGTGCGACAGCCAGAGGTCCCGCTCGGCCACATGCGCCCGGCGGACGTGACGCACAAACTGACTGATCGAGCGGAAGCGCGTGGCGGAGCTGGACACCGAGCTGGACCCCGGGCACCGAGGCGCCGCCGGCAGGGGGCAAGTGAACACCGGGCACTCGTCGCCCAGGTGAATGAGCGCCTCATCGTACAGGCAGCTGGCGCACTCGAGGATGGACGGGGCCGCGGCCCCGGCGCTGGGGGCATTCGGCTCGGTCGCCGGCAGCTTGAGTGGCGCGATGCCAGGCGGAGGAAGGCCCGGGCTTGCATGCTGCCCGGCGGGCTCGGCTGCCATTCCCATGGGCGAGCCTGCCGTCGCGGCCCCTGTCGATGTGGCCAGCCCGGCCGTGCCCGGGCTTGGGGGGGTCATCGGCGCGGAGCCCGGGCTGCTCTTGGTTTGGCCATGTGCCAGTGACGGGGACAGAGATCCAGCCATCTGACCGGGGGGGAGGTCGGCCGGCGATCGGAAGGGGCCACTGACCGCCTGGGGAGCCGGGGCGGTTGAGAGGATCGAAGCCAGGGCCGACGCGGCGCCCAGCATTTCGGAACTGGCGACATCCGCCGGGCCAGCTCGCGGCGAGCCGGCCTCATTGGCACTGGGCAGAAAGGGGAAGGTCGCGGCCGCGTGAATGCGCGGATCGGACATGGTGAAACAAGTGCGCCGCAGGGGCACTTGATGGTTGTTGGGCCGTTTGTATGCGGGATATTTTTTCCGTCGATTTCACCACGGGGCCGATGGAAAGGGGTTGAGGAGGAGAAGCAGCAGCGGCGGCGGCGGCGGCGGCGGCGGCGGCGGCGGCGACAGCAGCAGCAGTACGGTGTGGCATTAGCACGAGTAGTGGCAGGGGTGAGGAGGACGGCGGCGGTGGCGAATGATGAGGCCGGGTGATCTTTCAACAACCGGGGAGAAGGAGGGACGGGAGGAGGATGGCCGGCGCACAGGAAGGGGCAGTGATGCTAGGGAGGGGTGACGCACGCAACGGCTGTGGGGTAGGCCAGCCGAGTCGGGCTTGGGGGTCGGTCCGGCGTCAGGTTTGACCGGCTCACCTCAGGGCGGGTCTCTTGCACTGGGTCTGTGGGAAAGAGGACACACGCACACACGCACAGACGGATGCGCACGCTCGCGCTCGCAGTCTCTTGCTCTTGATCACGACACTACCGCGAACGGGCGCTCGGGCTGGCTGGTCGTGAGGAGGGAGGGAGTGAAGGGGGCGGGGGGCGGGGGGCGGGGACTGGCAGGGAGGCCGACACGCAGAGCGGGAGGCGACAACCAGGAGGCTGGACGATGCCGAGTGCTTAGCCAGGGCAAAGGGGCAGGGGGGGGGGGGGAGCAGGGG